TGAACTCATGGAGATCCTCCTGCCTCAGCCTCTCCAGTGTTGGAATTACAGGTATATTCCATCACACCCAGCTCTTGTCCAGGACTTTCTGAAGTCATTGACTCAATTAAAATGTAAAAGTCACAGGACTGGAGAGATGGCTCAGGGGTTAGGAGCACTGGCTCTTAACACTGGCTGTTCTTGCAGAAGATCCAGGTTGGAATTCCAACACCCACATGGCAGCTAACAACTGTTCATAACTCCAGTCGCAGGGGATCTCCTTCTTCAGGCCTCCAAGGATATTGCATGACAAGGGTGCACTTACATGTATGCAAGCATAACACTCATACACAAAAATTTAAACAAATAAAAATAAATGCAAAAGCTACCTGAATGGTTATATAAAGATATGATGGACATAGAAAATACATTAATGATTTCTTCCCATTGAAATTTATATTTAATTTTATTTTTTAAGAGTAATTCAGATGTATTTCAAACATATGATTGCAATTATATACCAGACGTTATGAATTGCAGGACTGGGATATATTGCAGAGGTAGAGTGATTAGTATATACAAGGCCTGGCACTGAAACCCACAATGCAGAAAGAGGAAAAGAAAAAGGAAGGGAGGCAGAGAGAGAGAGAAGGGGAGGGAGGAAGAGAGGGAGGAAGGGAGAGAGATTAACTTTGAAGGAGGAAATTAAAATTAACAACTGAAAATCACATTACTAATGTTTATTTGGTACACAAACGCTACAGCTCTCTCTCTTTGTGACCAAATTTGTCTTCTGTCACTTCTGTTTATCTTATGATAAACAGAAAAGATACATGATCAAAATGCCTACCTGTGACTTTACTGGTTGCACACCCCATGAGAGTATATCTGTAGAGTAAATTGCTCAGGTAATTCTAACATGTACCAAACTTTGAGGGCTCCTGATCTTAATCAATCTTACTCTGTGTTACATTAGTCTTGACTGTGTCTGCCTTGAGTGCCTTCAATATAATAGTTACTGAATATTTAATCATATATCGTGTACCCATTTGTAATGGGTAAGAAATAGGAATTGAATAAAGATCAAATGATTTGAGTTTCTTGTGTTCTACGTTGCTGTTTCTTTGGAAGTTATTTGATTATCTCTCAAGTTCTTGTTTTTTAATGAAAAAATATGAATGTAGTCGAGCCCACTAATCCATAATCCCGGCCACTCAGAAGCCTGAGGCAGGAGGACTGCAAGTTCAAGACCTGTCTGGGCTACAGAGAGAGTTGAAAGCCAGGCTGGGCAACTTAGCAAGAGCCTGCCTGTTGCTGAATAAAGAGGGGCTGGGTAAATAGCTCAGTGATAGAGTGCTTGCCTCACCTCACGTATACGGAGACAAGAAGTTCATTCCCAAGGATCAGAAAGAACAAATCTGAAAATCCCTTCTTTTCACACAGAAGTGTTCTACCTCCATGGTTATTCAGTCTTGCACTCTCTCCTCTGGATTCAAGTCATTTTTTTCTTCCAACTGTCTTTACAACTTCCCCTGCTCTGAAGGTTCGTGGTCTATGGGATCCTTTCTCTTGGCTGTGTATCTAGAGTTAGTTTTCATTCTAAAATGCAGTGACACCTTCCCCTCTTTATGACAAGTCAGTGGTTTCCCACATTGCTCTCCAGACACAACAAAACACTTAGCTTCATCTACCAAGCGCTCCTCTGGACCCTCTCTGCATTCCTGGGCTCCCAGTTCACTTGGTTCTGGGTCCTGCTGCCCTTCTTAGTTACGGCCACATCGACCTTCCCAGTCATTGGGCGGCTCCAGGCAGACGTCAGTTCGGTGCATCAGATGTTCCCTCCTCCCAGGATGCCCCTCCCTTCCTTCCTCACTCAGTCAAGTTTACTCATCCATCTCATCTTAGCCCAACTGTCATTTCCTCAGAAATAACAGCTCTAAAGGCAAGTTATACACGAAGACATGCCATGCTCCTTTTATGAACCTATAGTTACATTTTTACAACAAATAACATAATTACTTAATTCACATTTATTTTGCGCATCAGAATAAAAACTCTGTTAAACCAGATGGCACAGACAGGACTGAAAACCAGGTATCTTCACCCACAAATCTTTCCACTGCATCATTTTTTCCCAATCACATTGATCCTCTAAGATTGTGTGGGACAGGTAATATAAGCAATAAACACCAGGTCTTGATGACTTCAGTAACTGCAGAACACGCACATGTTTTATAGTGACCTGACAATGGGCTAAGTCTTATTGGCTAGCAATTATTAATGTGCAAGGTAAAACATCACTTTGAGAATTTAAAATTCTCAAATGCATGTAAGAAGCATCAAACAGACTTCTATGCTCCATTACAATGTTTCCGGCTAGCACATCTTCCCAGCCAACATAAGCTTTTAGGTAATACTTTCCACTTATAAAACACTGGCAACTCTGCAGAAATGGAAGTTGGCAGAGAGATTCATGGTATGATGCTGAACCGGTGGTATGTTCATAAACCAGCTCTCTAGTAAAGTAAAATTTCCAGAAAGTTCTAACGTGTAAGATTTGCTGATTCCTGTGTTATATTCTCAAACACAAGTTGAGCCAAGCTACCAAATCTGTAACAAGGGTCTCCCAGGATTCCATAACATTTAACAGAAGCCTCTTGCAACTCAGAGATATCTTCAGTACAACCCTGTCACTACATGAAAAATTTAGAAAAAGGAAAAAACAACTCAGCTCACTGTGCATGCATATTCACATGGGCATGTGTGTGTTCAGGGTGCATGTACGTATATGTGTGCGTGTGTGTGTGGAGGTAAGAGGTTAACTTCAGGTTTCACCCCTCAGGCATCATCCAACTTTCTTCTTTTTAAAAATTTATTTGTTATTTTTATATTTTGTATTTGAGTGTATTGCCTGGATGTCTGTAAGTGCACTAAGTGCACCCATGTTGTGCAATGCCTGCAGAGGTCAGAAGAGGACATCAGATTCCCTTGGACCCGGAGTTACAGGCAGTGTTAGCTGCCATGTGGGTGATGGGAATCAGACTCAGGTCTTCTGTAAGAGCAGCCAGTGCTCCTAACCACTGAGCCATCTCTCCAGTCCTCCAACTTTCTTCTTGAAACAAGGTCTCTTACTGAACTGGTGCTTGCCAAGTAGCTGAAGAAGTGGACAGAAAACCCTAGGGATCCTCCTGTCTCCTCCTTCCCAGTGCTGGATTACAAGCAGGCACCACCGTGCCTCACTTTTTACATGGGTTCTGGGGGATCAAATAGGCCCTCATGCTTGCAAAACAAGCAGTTCACTGACTGAGCCATCTCCCCAGTCCTCAACACACACTTAAAATTTATGTGAAGAAACTGTGGTTTAAAGGACAGACATTTGCCTCAAGATCACACTCTAAATAAGAATGAGCATCCAAGATTCCACCTCCAATGTCCTCTTCAACCTAGTGAAACCAGTAAGTGGTTCTCATGTGACCATGGACACAAGTGCTTCTCAGAAGACCAGCAGAATCCACCACACCAGGGAGCCTGTGAGGAACACTGGTCCCTTGGGTTCTGCTCAAGACTTGGTAAGGCAGAAGGCTCAGGACAGCAGGATTCATGTAGAACAGTGGAACAGGATCTTGACTTAGCATCCACAAATGTTCCTTCTGAATAATATTCTAGAATGAGCTATTCATCTACAACTTCTGTCATGAAGCCAACAATTTTTCACAGTTTCAAAGACCTTACCTTTCAAAACAAATCATATTTTACTAACTTTATTTACCTTTGAATTTTCAACCCCAGTATATTTTACAGACTAAAACTTAACAAATATTCATATCTCTTATCTATGGCATTCTTTACATTGAAAAAACTTTAATGCCCTCTAAATAAATATTTATGTTGCATGGTTCCATCTTACAGCTTATACCAATCAAGGCAGTCAGTTAGTAACACAATGTCTTTATCCAAATTCATATGATGTCCTGCCATCTAGTTACGATTTGTGTGTGTGTGTGTGTGTGTGTGTGTGTGTGTGTGTTGGTTTATTGGTTTGTCTACTAATAACTGTTGTCTTGACATGAATTCCCAACCTTAAAACCCACAATGAAGGCAAATAAATAAAGCCTGTGGTGGTTTCCTCTTCCAATATTTTAGAATTTGGAAAGTTTACAAAAATATATTTCTTGACTTTCTTAGAACAGCATTACAAAAGAGAAAAGGAACAATTTAGTAATCGATTCCCCTAAGTTAAAAATGCCCAGCTATGGGACAAATCAGAATTACTTGCACTGACAGTATTTTGAAAATAACAGGAAAGAAATCTGAAAATCTCAGCCTTTGATTCTTAATTCATGATTCATTACTGAGGTTATTTGGAGGGAAAATTTAAGCAGGTTTAACATATTTGCATAGGCATGAGAGTGTTGATAGGATATCTGCAGATAATGGATTACTGAAAACATTTTTTAGACAAGGATTTCATTATTTCTACCCTTCCTGGAAATATTGAATGACTCAATCAGAGGGTTTGTGGCTTTGCTATGAAGCAAATTCACAGACCTTGGGAATAGCTAAAGAACCTTAAGATTCTCTAATAACTTGGTCTTGATTGAACCTACATTTACCAAGTATGGTCAGAAAAGCTTTGGTACCCAGGTGGGCAACATTCCTGACATCTGTCGGGAAAAGTAGCTTCTTCCATAAGCACTGTCACCCATCATCAAACCCTCTCCTCCTTACATGGGTTGAGATTATCTCATAGTTGTTACTCTCTTTAAGATTAATACACGTGGCTTGGCCAGCACTGCCCCATCTCTCTGCTCAAAAACGTCCACCTCCACAGCCATGCACCAATCCCCAGTCCCTGAATGAAGGTGGAATGAAATCCCAAATTTAATGCCCACTTATGCACCTGAGCCTTCGTGAGATTGCAGTGAACTGAGATTGCAGTGAACAGGCCATTGGTACAGCCATGAGCTGTCCCTACAGGCGGTGCACGCATTGGAGCCGGCCCCAAGAGCCAGGACACTTACGGTTGACATAGCTTGATGAGGTCCTGGTCGGTGGTGCCTGGTGGAAGACCTCGAATGTACAGGTTCGTTTTACTCAACTGTTCCCCGCTGCTGTTGCTGCTGCTGTTTGTGCTGGGGCTGGGAGGAGCCATGGGGTGGGGAGCTGGTGCATAGGACTGCTGCAAACAGAAAAAGCTGTTACTGGTAAAACAGAAGCCAGTGCACCTGTTCACAGGCCAGCAGCATTCACCGAATGCAGTGCAAACTCTTCGCTCTCTCTAGTCCACACTCACACACACCAACACCGTGTTCAGTGCTGCTTCGGATAACACCGCTAGCTTTTCCCCCTCCGACCCAACATTCGGATCTTCATCAGTCAGTCATTAATGGCAGAGAAGGAAGACAGCAGGTGCTTCTGGTGGAAAGTTTCAGCTTCTGACTTTGTCCCTCACCACACTGGCTCTCTTTGCACCTATATATTAGCATGCCATCTACCTCTGTGCTGCCCCCAACTGCTCAGTCATGGCACCCTACCTTGTCTCTAATAATCCGCCATCTTTGTCTTGCCTCTACTCTTTTGTTCTTTCCTTTTTTCTAAAGAAATTCCCCATCGTTTTCTCCCCCAATATCATTTAACACAGCTCCCAATACATAGGACCATTCTGGCACAGGGCTGCTATGAATGAACTAATGAGTGAATCAATGAATGCATCCACCTCAGCTCTTGAATCAACGAATGCATTCATCTCAGCTCTTTTCCCCACTCCAAAACTTGCACCCTCATGCTGAATGCTTACAACAGTGAGCTATGGGGTTGGAGGTTAGTAATTATCAGACAGCAAGCTTGAGGCTTAATAGCAGAAACATATATATCAAAATGATGTGATTTTAAAAATGATTGTCAACTTGACAGGATCCAAAATCACCTAGAAAATGAGCCTCTGGCATAACCATGAAGGAATTTCTAGACTGAGTTAACTCACCCTGAATGTGGACTGGAATCCAGAACAAAATGGAAAGGAGAAAGTGAGCTGAGCACTGGTATTCATCGCTCTGTGCTTCCCGACTGCGGATGCCGTGTGACCAGCTGCCTCACATTCCTGCTGCGGTGACTCCCCACCATGATGAAATGAACTGTATCCTCTGAGCCCTGAGCCAAAACAAACCCTTCCTTCCTGGTGTTGCTCTTCTCAGGCACTTTATCACAGCAGTGAGAAAAGTAATTAATACAGACAGTGTCTGCCTACTCAACACTTTGTGCTGGTCCTGGACCAAAGCAAAGAGCTAATTTAACCACTGACGGGAAAAAAGGAAGATAAACTGTACTCTGTGTCTTTATGATCTCGCTCATTTAAAAAAACATAAATAAACCCATTGTAAACATGCCCAAATGGACAGGTATAGGGGGAGGCATCCTGGAACTAGAATTGAGCATGGCTTTGACTATAGTCAGTTGACATCATTGACATCCTGCACCCATTCCACTGGGCCAAACCCACATGTACTTAGTCATCCTAAAAACCCCACTTGATTCTTTTCAACCTCTCCATTTCCTTCCTGGCCAGACTCCATCACACTAGGAAGCTCCCGCCCTTTCTGCTCCCAGTCCTGCCTGATTAGCTCTTACTGATGCATCTGACTTCAAATTAAGCACCAACATCACAACACTGCTGCTTCCTCTTTTAGCTCTTGTCATATTTGGTCCTTATCTGTGTGTATTTGGCTTACTGACCTAAAGCCTGCCTACCTCTAGCACAAATCTGGATGTTTCCTTGGGGCAAAACATGTGTCACCTGTTATAGAAGATCACATAGTCTAGTGTCTGATAAACAAAAGTTTCCTAATAAATTTTTAGGCTACATCTCTCACAATAAAAATCTAATAAAAATAGTATTGAAGAGACAGGAGGGTGAGTTTCAGCTGTGCTCAGCTTTGTTTCCTGCTCGAATATCTACCTTACACCTCCCAAGATTTCAAATTGGCCCTAGTCCCTGCTTCCCAGTGGCTATAGGATGGATAATGCTTCTTAGATTCTGTGTCTCAAAGTGCAGCTCACTGCACTGTTTTTCCTCCCCTGGCTCCCCACATCCATCACCCATCGCCATGAACCCATTTATTTTAACCCTGTTGTCATTCTTCACCTTCAAAGCTGGAGAACGTTGCATTGGCTTCATCTGTTCCTCACAGATCTCAGAGTATAGCCTGCCCCCCAATTCCCATGAATTCCCAGTATTTCTCCAGGACAGAGCCTGTGCCATCTGGTATTATATTCAGTCTTTAAGCTTCCTAGCTGGGCTTCCTTCACTCCTGCCTCCTAACAAAGGCCTCTGACTCACAGGACGGGTGAGGGGCACCGGGAGGACAGCACAGAATTCTAAAATGCAAGCTGAGACTGGCCAAGAATGAAAGAATGGGGAAGAGAGAGAGCAAATGCCACAGGAGCAGTTTGGAGCCACCCTCTCCCCCCAAAAACATTTTCTCAACCATTTCTTTAGTTCTACCTAATGCAGTATTAGCACTGTTACTGTGCTAATGTGTTTAATGTAGAATTACACAGAAGTATACTTTTTGTGTGTGTTTGCATTCAGTCCATTGTCTTGGAGTTTAAACGTGCAGAACACTGGAACTTTTCTGCTCATATAAAAATCTATGGCTAGCTTCCTGAATGAAAGCACTCTCTATCACTCTTTAAATGCCCATCAACATTCAAGATTTTCCTCTTTTATAAGCCTTGCACACAGTAGGGTCTCTTGGCTCTTGCTAAAGTGGCCTCCTGGTCTCTTTAGGTCAGATCACATTTATCTTTTAATTGCCTTATTAAGTGTTTTACTGTCTTAAAATCCCAGGGCTGTTTTCAAAGCTGTCTGTTACCACTTTCACCTCCCCTCTCTCCAGATTCTTTGAATTCCATCCTATACTGGGGTTTCTTTTAAAATGAGACTTTGTTTAAAGCAGTTCTTGCTGTTGCTTAGGCTTTAAAACCACCAGGGAGCCAAAAAAAAAAAAAAATGTCCCCAGCTTTCTGTCTCCCAGATAAAGGGGGCCAGTTCAGAAGGAGCCCTGGAATGATCAAATAAGAAGGCAGCAGACACTGTGTGATGGCTATGTGTTTACTTAATTCTTCTGCTCCCCCCGGGGCTCTTTGCAGGCATTTCCATAACCAGAACACAGTTCAGCACATTGCATGATGATTAGAACAATCAATGTCCCCTCCAACAAGCCCACGGCACCCACTGGAAGAGAAAGCCTAAAGCAATCCGGAGTTGAGAGGACAAGGAACTTTATGCATGGGAATATGTACTGTGCGTGTGTGTATGTGTGTGTGCACACATGTGCGCAGGCACGCACGTGCACACATGCTTTGCACATTTGAGTGTTGTGTTATGGATATACTTGTCAATGTGGGCACATGTGCATGCTGGCACATGTGCTAATGCATGGTGTGTGTCTGTATGTGGAGGCCAGAATCAACATTGAGTATCTTCCTTGACTATCCCTCCTTTATTTTTTAAAACTGTATTTACTTTTTTTTTTTTTTTTTTTGTCTTTTTGAGACAGGGTCTCCCTGCAGCCCCAGCTGTCCTGGAACTCACTATGTAGACCAGGCTGGCCTTGAACTCACAGAGATCTGCCTGCCTCTGCCTCCCAAGTGCTGGGACTAAAGGCGTGGGCCACCACACACAGCCCAACTGTATTTACTTTTTATTTATGTGTGTGTGTGTGTGTGTGTGTGCTTATTTGTCTGTATGTGCATCATACGTATACATTATCCAAAGAGGCAAGAAGAGGGTGTAGGATTCCCCTGGAACTGGAACTACAGGGAGTTGTGAGCTACCCAATGTTGGTGCTGGGAAATGGACCCAGGTCCTCTGCAAGAGCAAGTGCAGAGCCCGCTCTCCAGGGCCTCCCCTCCCCATCTTTATTTCTTGAGACAAAGTCTCTCACCTAATATAAAGTCCATCAATTCAGCCAGGCTGGCTGGTCAATAAGCTCAAAAATCAGCCTACTTCTTCCTCCCCTACCCCAAGAGTTTGAGTTACAGGCATGTGCCACATGTCCAACATTTTCTGTGGGTTCTCATGTTTAAGTGACAAGCACTTTACCAGGAGAACCATGTCCCCAGCCAAACATATTTATGTACTTTATAAATATGCAATGCTAAGCTTGGTGGCACACATCTTTAATCCCAGCACTTGGGAGGCAGAGGCAGATGAATCTCTGTGAGGCTGAGACCAACCTGGCTGGTCTCCATAGTAAGGACACCCTGTCCCTGTGTCAAACACACACGTGTGTATGTGTGTGTGTGTGTGTGTGTGTGTGTGTGTGTGTGTATGCAGAGGGTCCAGGTAGGTTTCTGTCAAATGCTGGTTGAGAAGTCTAGGCATACTACTGAAAGAGGAAGAATTGTCTTGTGGGGCCAGTCAGTCTATGGATTAAACACCCAGTATGGAGACTCTTCCTAAACCCTAATATTTCATTTATCTGTTGACAATGCTCCATGATTCAGGTCGAGATGAACACTGTAAATCATACTCTGGTTTTGAGAATTATAAATTCCTTCTTCCACCCATTTTCAAAATCTCATCTTTTCATCAACATAAAGTTGGCAGAAGGTTCCCGGAATGCCTGATAAATGCACAGCCTAAATGAATTAATTTGTGAGAACCAAGAGCAATTTTGTATGCTCTGGCTGCCAAAGACAGATGATAAGACTAAAGCATCTTATAAAAGGAAAGGTGGGGGGAGTGTCAATAATCTCCGGGGTTAATGGATCCCAGCAGCCATTTTCCTGATTAAAGCAGCTCCCGGTTAGCTTCAGCTCTTTGTCCCTTGCTGGATTTGGAATTTTATCATTGATTAGCTTTTAAATCATTTTGAGCCACAGAGGAAGGGATTCTTTTTAATGTTTTTAAAATAATATTTTCTTTTAGATAAAATTGACTTTGTTATATTGTCAAAGTCATGCTCTATAAATCCTATTTAGGAACAGGGAGGACTTATGGTCTGAGGTTACTGAATACTACATCATTGTGCCGTGACAGGGCAAGGGACTGTGATGAACTCACAGAGTCAGCACGGTTAAAAGCAGAAGTGGATTTTTCAGATGTTGGGCCTTAGGTGACACCGAGTGAAGGGAAAAGAGGATTTCTCTTGAGTCAACATATACCTGGTATATGCA